CCCCAAAACCCCAAAACCCCAAAACCCCTTTTGAAAAAGGCTAAATTGAAACTTTTAGATTAGAATTTAGTGTTTATGTAATATCTTTCCTTGGTGCTCTTTGATAAGTCCTCCAATAAGGGAGAGACTGAGGGCATTTACGCTCCAGTTTTGCTGTACAGAATTGATCTTCTTATTTAATCTGAGTGTGGTATTCCCAAAGCTTGACTGTGTCTGATGGGAGTTCTTCCCCTCAGCCATTGATCTAGCATTGGAACTACTGAAGAAGGAATCCTTCTTCTTTGACTCTAGATTCAGGTAATTTTCCATAATGGAAGCCCCTTTCGGTCTAGAGTCATTGAGATTCGATCCTTCTGCTGTTGATTTATAATCAGACAATTTCTTCGGAATTCGAGGAGATCTTAACGAATTTTTATCAGAAATATTCAGGACTGCAGGGGGCTTTGTAGAAGCTTGGCCATTAAGACTCACAATCTTTGTCTTTTTAGGAGGCTTTGAGTAAGCTGAAGATTAAGAAGACAAACTTACTCATTACTAATTTTTGCTGATTGAGACAATTAGCAATGCTGAGTCCAACACTTGTGTTCAGGGTAACCTTTTGTCTTTCAGAACCATTGTAAGGTTTAGTTCGAGTAAAATTCTGAATAAGTACTATACTTTTGTTATCTAGATCGTACCATTACTCTGTGTGTTCTTTAAATCTCTCTTCTTATGAGCCTTGTTGTGTGTATAATAAGATTTCTTAACCTCCTTGACTTCCTGATCGAGCTCCTCAAAATTGAGGCTCTTGATACTAGATTCTTCAAGGAAGATCTCATCAATAGATGGCATGATCTCACTACATTCATGATCGAACTTATTGACGACTTCATTGTTGTTTAGAGTATTTTTTTTGAATTGGAGTTCCTACAGTTAGAATTTTCAAAGCCCATTTGTCTAAGTTTCAGAAATTTCTTTGTAGAAAAAGAGATAACTTACCTCTGTTAATTCATGAATCAGTAAACATTGCTTCTTTATTAGCATATCTTTTTCCTTGATTCATTCTCGTAGACTAATATTCTCCCTCTCAAGGTAATCTACCTTGTCCAACAGAATCTTGTAGTTCTCAGCTGGGATTTCTATTAGGGTTTTAAGGTGAAATCATCAAACTTGAGCAGTTTCAGAAGAAGTTAATTATTTTCATCAAAATTTTCTACGTATAATTTAGCAATTTTGTAGATTTTTGAGTTAATTTCACCAAACTGGTTCTATTTTTGAGAACTTTTTTATGAAAATTCTGAATAAATTGCTATAATTATGAAATTTCAAGGATTATCACAGCTAATTTTTGTGCAAAGTTATTTGCGATTTCAGAGTCCAGAAATCTAGGAAAAGAGTTATACTTACCAAGAGAGATTTTACAGCGCTTAGTCAGATGTTCAGCTGGCTCATTACTCATATAAAGAGGCGTATTATGTTGAGATGGATTTTTTAAGGAAACTTTACGAGGTCTCTGACCACAAAATTTCTGCTGTTCCCTCAAAGAATTAAGACTTGTTAGTAATTGCTTCCTCCCAGTTCCAGATGGAGCTTCCTTATAAGGAACTCTCTGCTGGCTATAGGTAGAGTGTCTCTTCCTACTCAACTCTTTGCTTACAGGAGAGCAAGGTTTCTGAGATAAGATCTGGATTTCAGCAAGTTCGTCATTATCATCCAAGAGGTTATCCTCAATATCTTCATTTATAGAGCTTATATTTAAAGAGTCTGATAAATCTCCGCTTAGAGCCATACTTAAAATATTACTATTATCTAAAACTCAATATTATTTAATTGATGGGGTTTTGGGGTTTTGGGGTTTTGGGGTTTTGGGGTTTTGGGG